CTACAGAATGAAACACTGCCTGGTCATGCACCATCCTCACAATCATTGCTACATTTGAGGTAATTGTTTAGACACTGAGTCAATACATTTCATTGAGAGTCTTCCTCTTTTTTTGGTTGACCCTCTCCTTCACCAACCATGATGTCCTTCTCCAGGGAATAGTTCCTACTGACATGTGCAAAGTACATGAGACAACATCTAACCATCTTTAATTCTAAGGACCATTCTGGCTGTACTTCTTCCAAGACAGATTTGTTTGTTCTTTTGGAAGTCCACAGGATATTCAAAAATTTTCACCAAGACCATACTTCAGATGCTTCAATCTTCCTTCTTCACTTTGACGCTTACAATGGTAATATGTTTTATTTATCTCTATGTTCTAAGTTCTAGAGTTGCATGAAACACTTAGCTCAGTCAATATTTCTTCAATGAAGAAATCCACAAATTATCTAAAGTGTAGTGACTCTTTTTCCTTTATCACAGGACATTCATTTTGCCTTTACCATGTTAACTTTCATCATCTGGAACTTTATTTGTGAATAATAAGCGTCTTGAGGCTAGCTACTAGGTGTCCATTGATTTATATGTCTTTTAACAAAAATCATTTACTGATTATTTTGAAAGTACATCTACTTATAGAAGATATCACTAAAAAATAAAGAAAACAAGTCAGTAGTAAATTTTTATTTACATGAAAGGAAAAGGAATTTAAAAAAAGGAAGAAACTACAATTAAAAGTAAATCCAGTTAATAAATCAGCAAATTGAATGGTTAAAGCCTTGTTAATTTAGAAACTAAATTATGTGAGGTTTACCTTACTTCTTAATCAGTAAAGTACATAGAATATTGGACAGACATTTTTCTTATCACTATTTATTTTGTTCTTAATTATCTATGCTTTCCCAAAACAGAATTAATTAGTATATTGATAGTTTAAAATATATTTATTATAGAGTTACAGACTGCCTTTATTTGTAAATAATTTTATGCATTTAACTTCATATTATTGTACACAAAATCCAAATTAAGTTTTAGAAATTAACAATGTGTAATCAAAAATAAAGAATAATTTATTCTGTCATAAATTAACATGATAGGAGTTTGGCTTAGTGGCACAATAGAGGCATTAAAATAAACAAAGTTACCATGCCCACACTGAACAATGGCTTCCATGATTCTTGTTTTTGTTTTTAAATAATCTTCAAGCTGAAAAGACCAAATACAACTATTCCTAATATAACCTTATTTCCATAGTCTTTATTGATTCTGCCAAACTGCTCTGAATATTATTCCCTGGGTTTTCAGCAATGGCATCTCCTTTACTTTATATCTTTGCTAAAATATTATCTCCATGAGTTCACTGGACTCTCTCTTTAAAGCTGAAACCCAATGTTCATCACTGTGTTTCTGATGTCTATTAATGGGCTAAGATTATTTTCTATAGGGTTCATCATCATCGTTAAAAATACTGTATGCTTCGAGTCCTTATCATACCTATTGCTTATTGTCCGACGAGCCTTGCCAGAATACAAGCACCACAAGAGAAGAAATCTGCTTACATTTTCCCAAGAGAAACAACAATGTTCCATTTCTTCTTTTCTCTGTGTGAGGAAAATCCTTTCTTCTTTTTTCCCTGAAGAAAATCTTTCTTCAAAACTCAGTTGAGCCAAAGATGTTCTCCT